CAGGCTAAACCTGCCAATGTGCATTTACTTTAGGGAAAGCGTTATTCATTCTTCACCTTTAATTTTACTACATGGCCAAACTTCTCTGCAGCTCACTTCTCAAGAATGAGCTGCGGGGAAGGGTGGGGAGAAAAGCCATGCGCAACCTCATAAAAACAGCTCATTTTTAAACTGCTGCCAGACATACATGTTTTATGAGTAAGACCTCAGATAATCCTTTGATGAAGAAGCTTCTTGATTCTGAACGCACAATGCTGCCAGCAGGAAGAGCCTCAAGTTTCAAGTGTGCTGATTTCCTTCTTTTAGACTGGCTCACGAATTAAGTCCCTTTCCAAGTCATAGTTTCTTCCAACTTAAAATTTTTCAGAAAGAAAGGAAGGACCATCCAGTGGAGAGGAATCAAGATCTCGATCCATCAATTCTCTTTACTGAAATACGTTTTCACTGTGGCAACCAGAATTCATTCAAAACACCTGATGAGTTGCCCCCACTATGGCAGGCTTTCAGGGAGACGTAAAGGTGAATACAGACACAAGTAAGCATGCATGAAACAGGACAGCAACCAAGGTGGGGTAAAACTAAGCAAGCGCTGGGAAAAAGGTAGCATTTGAATAAGGCTTTGCAGGATGGATAAGATTCTAACGTGGAGTTGTATGAGAGAAGTCCTTCAAGACAAAGGAAATGACCTGCTCAAGGGAAGAAGACCAAGCCATATTCAGGATATGACAATTTTCAGGAGAGTCTGATACCTTTGGACAAATAGTAGATTAAAGCAGAAACGGGAAATCAAAACCAAATCCAGCATAGCATAATATCTATTCATACTTCATCGTGGGACATCATTAAATAGGACACCATTGAGAGGTTCCTGGCAAGAATGGCAAAACCCTTTGAGTCAGCAGTTGCAATGTGGCTCACTCACGGCCATCAAGCCGATTCAGACTCAGGCAACCCTCTGGGAGAGGGGAGAACGGCCCCTGTGGGTTTCTGACACTGTAGAGCTTTACAGAAGCAGAAAGCCTCATTTTTCTCCCACGGGTGGCTGTTCATTCCACACTGCTGATCTTGGTTAGCAGCCGAACACGTGACCCATGCTGCCACCAGGGTTCCTCTGAGGGTGACAGAGGTGCTAGCCAACAGCTGACTCCTCGGGAAAGAAAGTAGGCAAAGATGTCAGAGACAGAAGGCAAAGTGACAGTGCCACCAAAGGACTTAGTAAAGTCAAGAGGAAGAGCAATCTCTACAGAAGGGTAATTCCCATTTGTCATTCTAACTTTTTGGAGAACTTTCAGCATCTGAGCACAACAACCCAGCAAACAGTCACAATCTAAGAAGAGATGGGAAGAAAGCTCAGGGATAGAAATCTGGCTCATCCCTGCACTTCTAAGGCAAAAGGGAAAAACCAGCAAATTAAGAAGAGGCACAATCATTGAAAGAGAAGACCAAAACCCAAATTCACTGTCATCAAATCAACGCCGACTCATAGCGACCCTGTAGGGCAGGGCAGAACTGCCCCTGTGGGTTTCTGAGACTAAATACCTACCAGAGTAGAGAGCCCTGTCGTTCTTCCGCTGAAAGATAAATGGGTGGCAATATTAAAGACATTAAAGAAGCGCATCAGCCCTGCCACAGGGCTTAGAAGGGAGATGAGAACTAAGATAAAAATTCATGGATTTTCAATTCGAATGTTTTTCTTCAAGACAGTTAGGTGTTCAAAAGGCAGACTACAAGAGGTTAAGAAATAAGTCATCAGGACCTAAGAAAGATCATTAATAATAACAATTCAGTGGGACAAAGTATGAAAAGCCAGAATAAGAAAAAGTCAGAAATATTTTTTAAATAGACTCTGAAATCGTCAAACTAGACTATTTCAAGTACTAGCACCTCACTTCAAAATATATGGTTTAGGATGTGAGAGCGATCTAGCTGCGACATCTGTCACCCCACTGATCGCCAGGGCTGATTCGGCTGACCTGGCTGGCTGGGCAGGTGCCCCCTTCCTCCCTCACCGCGCCATGTGCGTCCCTCCCGAAGCTGCGCTCTTGGGTGAAGAGGACGACCTTCCCCATAGAAAGAGGACCGTCCTTCGGTCAAGGGCATATGAGTAGCTGTGCTCCCCTGCTAGAACCTCCAAACAAGTCCCAAAATACATATTTCAATTTCAATAATACAATACAATATTATCACCTAGAATCTTTGTGGAATGAAGCATACACATTCAATAGCATCCAAAAGGGACAGAGGAAAAATCAGGGTAAGTGGGATGTTGTCCTCCTACACGGAGGAGAAACTTCACACCAAAGAAACCAATATAAACAAGCCTTTAGTTTCTTTTTCAAATGAGCAAGGACATCTTTCTCTCAAAATAGTTTTAAAATGGCTAGGAAACTTTAAAACAAGTAATTTATAAGTGAGTTACACTTATAATAAGTACCCCAGCTGATAAACTTTAGCCCAAGAGAGGACAATCGCAAAAGCTAGGAGGCGACTTGTTAAAGAGACCCCAGCCACAGGCAGAATGCCACGGGTTGCTATGACTGTAATCATAATCCAGTATTTATCAAGCCTTCCTAACTCTTTAGATATTCTTTCCCCCCTGAGAACTACAGTCAATCTGCCGTCTACCCATACAAGAGATAACATATCTATAGAGTGGGAGAGATTTAAGTTAACATGCTAACGCTGTTCTCAACAGCTCATCTCCGTGACACGTGCTCTTGGAAGACTCATGGTTCATGACTCCTTCCGAAACTGTAATTCCAGCGTTCGCGAGAAGTGGGGAAGCCACACCTTACTTACCAATGTACCACTTAACATGCTTCTATTACTACCACACCGGTGGCATGTCTGGACCTGTGTCCATGCTACTTCCTATCACTGGTTAAGAAAAACATTAGAACGATATTTCTAGTCATAGATCACTAAACTGCTAGCCTTCATCCAAAGCAAACAGCAAGCGCTGCACAGACACCACAGATCTTCTAGGAAAATGGAAAGGTTACTAGAAAAGAACAGAGAAAAGGGGCAGTGTCAAGTGCCTACAGGGAGAAGCCTTTCTGTAGTGCAGAAAGACAGTCTGGAGAGACTTGGAAGTTTATCTTGGTGATGGCAAGTCAAACTACTGTGATGGGAAGAAAAACATACACTTGACATGTCACAAGGCACAGCATGTATTTCCTGTTGCACTACTTGGGGGTGGGGTGGTCACTGGTCACAAAAAGTCAGGCAAAGAGCTATGTGTATGTCTAAATCAAAGCAAACACTGAGGCTTCATAATACTAAGAACTAAAGCGTGCCAGACATCATGGGCTCAATTGCCGGTCAATTTAAATTAGAAAATGTCCTAAATCATTGTTTCTCAAAATGGGTGATACCACCTCCAAGGATGGGCTGGGGAGGCGCTGCAAAAGTAGACACCTACACTTGATGTTGGATTATGGGTTACAGTACAAAAAATTTTAATGATCAGCGGAGCATGGAGTAATTATTTTCTGAACAGAGGGTGGTAGGCCAAAACACTGATCACAGGGATGTGTTGACCAGACTAGAGATAGTACGCTAATTTGATGCATTGCCCTGCGTTTTTTGTTTGTTTTTTTCTTTATTTGTATCAAGTTGGAAAAGAGTAAAGCTTCAAACCCATTCTTCCTGGTTCAGACATGGCAGATGAAATAAAACCAAAACAAATTTCAGTCTGGGTGAAACAGAATGGTAACTGAACAGGGAGAATTATGTGTCAGAGGCCTGTTAGAAACTTAATCTCTACTTTAGAAAACAAGGACAGTATGTTCACGGCACGTGCACGGCATAGCAACCACATCTCTTGACCGATAGGGTCAGAAACAACAGTGCCCTGCTCAAAGGTGGTAGCTGACAGCGCTGCTCTGAATGTGTGTCATTCCCCAAAGTCCTGGCAATAATCCAATCTCCTGCATCAGGCTCCTGATGGGGGTGCCTTCTCTTCTAGGTCTTCCATTCTAAGGCTTCAGCTGCTCAGTTTTCCTATTTTATTTATTGTTATGCTTCATCCAAATTTTAAAAATTCAGGTCTATTCCCAATTTTGCTTCATGGGCCACAATTGAGCCAGCATGAATTGGTTTTGAAGCCCTGGGAAAAAGCCCAGGGAAACATCTATTTAATAGACTTTTGGCTCTCGGAAAGAAGACCTAGTTTTCCTCAGAGGCCAAATTTGGAGTCTTCCCATAAAGAAATAATGTTATTAGTCTTCTGGAGATTATTAGATGCCAAAGAAAGGAAGGAAGCAGGTATAACTAGGCAAAGAAAAAATTAAAAGTTATGAACTTCCAAACAAAGCCCATGTAATCTTCAGAAGCTAGGACACAGTCTGAAAATATTAATTTTTCAATTATCTGCTGTAAGAGTTAAAGAGCCCTACTGACTTGGTAGGATAAACAATGGACTGCTAATACAAAGTCAGCAGTTCAAACCCACTAGCCGCACCTCAAGAGAAAGATGAGGTAGTCTGCTCCCATAAACATTTACTTTTTTTTTTTTTTACCATTTACCACTGTTCCCAAAACAATTAAATTAAAATATCCAAGAGTAGCTAACACATCTAAATTAGGCCAGTACTATATTTACTGGAAAAGATTGGTAGCACTGCTTAAATTGACATGATCAAAGGTCTACAAATAAAATTTGGGAAGATGTCAAGGATTCAAAGCCCATTCATATTCTTTAGAGGAAGCTGACCCAAACATAGGAGAGCCCCATCACCATCTTAACCACAACAAGGTAAAAGGAGAAGATGGGCAGTGTGACCTATTCTCATTCTATAATGTTAGTTTCTAGTAGCCGGAAGCTTTCACATCACAGCCACATTAAAACCGCGGGATCCCTTTCCCTGCAGCACATCATGCCATGCAGAGCAGACACAAGAAAGGCTGCAGTTATTTTTTAAAAGAAGGAGGAGGAGGAAGAAAGGAATAGCAAGAAGGAAGCGCCAAAGGTGCAGGCTGCATTGGCTACATTAGCTTACCATATGTCTCGGGTCTACTCTCCTCTGAACTAGACTTTGTCTTCTTGGAGGAGCTGTCTGCACAAGAGCGGGGGAAAAAGGAGAGAGATATAGAAAACATGGAGACCAATGGGGAGGAAAAAACAGAATGAGTCATGATCCAGTTAAATCATGCAACACACATATGAACATCATAGGTGACAGCACTCAGAATAGTCACAAACAGCACAGGTCATGACATATTTCAAAGATGTATCAAAGGAAAGACTGCAATAAAAATACATTCAAACCAAACAACACATGGATAACACGCATCTACAGAATATGTAACATGATAACTGGAGCGCTGACCAAAGCACTAAACTCTGTAGCGACTTCCTAAGACAGCACTGCATAGCGTGCTGCAGCAGTCTGTCCTCTGATGGGCAGCACCCCATGGGTGAGGACCACAGAATTAATCAACCTAACCAGGCTACAGGCAGAAACAGTAGACCCTAATTAGCAAGATAATAGCTAAGCATATCAATGAAAGCCTCTGAACCCCATGACTTTAAAGTTGTCAAAATTTGGTGTCAGCAACAAAAAATTCTCTCTTACAAGAGATCCAGAAGTATCTCCCCCCACCTCAACCTCCTCAACTGATGACTTGGCATTTCATTTTACCCACTACCCAAGAAGCAGAAAAAGGATTGGCTCTTCACAGATTACTTTTCCCTTTCTAGATAATAGTTACAATACTTTTTCAGCATAAGAGTAATTTGTATCAAAAGCATAAAGTATTTTCACTAAATATAGAAAGCATACTTTCTTTTATGTACTTAGAATTCCATTTCTAAGTAAAGATCGCAAAATGCAGGGATCTGAGACCTCGGCACGTACTTTGTCTTTGCCAAATAGGCATACAACTGAATAAAACAGTGCGTCTACAGAAAAGCAAAGTGATCTCACAACTTTTACAAGTTAAATACTGAATGAGTTTACTAGGGGAAAGTTTATAAATAATTCCCTGCTCATAGCAGTGAGGGCAGCTTTTAAAGCAAAAGTCTAGATTTTACAAGCGAAGAGTCAACCTCTATGCATAAAAATTGAGAAAATGAATCGTCACACCAACATAAGAACACTGGGAAAGAATCCATACAACTGAGGCAGAAAGAGAACCTGACTGAAGACAAAGGCCCTCTATACATTTATTTATTCTACAGTAAGGCCTCTGTCATTTTGAAGTCTTGTTCTCTAATGTTCCAACTGAATGTTCCAATGCTTACCCAAGTCAAGCTCTCATAACCTGGATCTTAGGGTATACCATAGCCCCTATTTATCTTAATACTTTAGTCTGCGGTCTGACCAAACGTACCAGTGAAGATAAAATTCTAGTATTCACAGGATTTTGAAATACATTATGTTTAAAAATGAGACATTCATAGGGGGAACTATCGGGTTAAAAGTTGGGCGTCTCCAGAGAACAGAGGTTTTATGTAAGTGGGAGAGAGGGCGGAGAAAGACGAGTACTAAAACCGACCTCACAACTACTTTTGGATGCTGCAGGTATTCCTGTAGTTGAAGGTGAATCCTGAATTTTGCTACTCTCAATACTCCTTGAAAAAACATAAAGCGGATTACCTGTGGGGTCAAAATCATGTGATGTACTGCGTTCAACTTTCTGCTTCTTATCTGTTGATGACTCTCGGTTCAAAATACTTCCATGCCTGAATTTAATCAAAACAATCAAATAAGAAAACCATCACATTAACAATGTAGTTTAAACATTCCAAGTATGTTTTAAAAAAACAAAGAAATCAGCGCGCGTTACACATTTATCATAAACCCCTCCAATCTACATTTTGCAAGAAAATTCAAAAATCCACAACTTAGTCTCTGCTATATGCAACACATGGTCTATTTACCTGCTTACAAACCTTCTTGAAAAATAAATTAATTAAACATGCTTGAAGGATTAAAAACAGCATTAATCTTTGTCTTATTTTAGTCTTAGAAATAACTGCTTGAAATGTTGAGGTTTTCATCGGTTAATCACTCTCATTTCCATTTGACATGAAGTGAAACTGTGTCAAAAAGTAATCTTACACTTCCTCCAACCAGACAGCATGCATGGGAGCAGTGAGAACAAAAACCAAGGCAAGAGCTGCTTTAAGTCTCTCGGCAGTTCTGGCAAAGGAGCCTTGGTGCACAGCGCAAGGCGGGTGGTTCAAACCCAAGTGCCCCTTCAAGGGAGACAGGTGAGATTATCTATTTCTGTAAGATTCATGGCCTGGAAAACCCTTGGGAGCCCTTCCACTTCACCCAACAGGTCACTGTGAGTTGAAATCAGCCAGGTGGTTTGATTTAGTTCGGGTATAGTTCGGGCACAGGAGTTTTAGTCAGACACCTTCAGGCCCAGCAGACACCAGAATGGCTAATTTTCCTATGTCCTATCCTATTACACTGATCAGATGATGCTATTACACTGATCGGGTAATGGCTGAGCAACAAACAAGACCATGGCAAGAATGCATGCACATCAATCGAAATGCCACCAGGGCTTCCTTGAACTGTCAAGATTGGCACTGAGTATTCTGGATTATACTGTTGTTAGAAAATGATGAAAGTACTGCATCGACTAGGAATGCCATTGTTACCTACATTTGAAAGAAGGTTTAAGATCATTAAGATGGGAGAGAAGTGTTGAAGCACAGATATTGAGAGAAAAGCATTTAATATCTGCTGATGAGTGATTACGAGAGGCTTCAAAAAGTTCACGGAACAATTCAATTACCTTTTACTTCCATTTTTTTCTGTGAGCTTTTTGAAGCCCCCTGGTAAATAGACATGAATATAGGCACAGGCGTATTCGACCATTTGCAATTGCTTCCTTTAATGCTGTAAAGCAACTAAGACTACAAAAGTTTGCCAGAGTTCAGTAAACTATATAAAATACAGTAAACCTGGTAAGCCATTTACACTCCCCAAGCCACTCACAACTGAAAACATCCACAAGCAGATTTTTAAATTGAATCTCTTCAGAGGGAGTGATCTTAAGTATCAATTTGAACAAACTTTCAAAATGCTTATATAAAAAACACTGAAAATGTTACCAAAACAATGCTGTCTTCCAGGAAAAATATGCAACACCTGTTACATTTTAAATTGGTAAACATTTTGAAATTCTGAACTACTTAGACCCATGTTTTCAAAAGCCACAAAGATCCAGCACACTTTCAAAGGAATCTAATTAAAATTTAATCTAAATATATGGACTGCATCTGGACAACTTACCTTATAGGTTTTTTGAGAGGAAACCTGAAACAGAGAGAGAAAAGGGAAAGACGTCGTTAATTCATTTGTAAGATTATGATATGAAGTTTATTCATTACACTAAATCAGAATAAGAGGATCTAAATCTTAGCTATCTTTTGGAAAACGAGACTCAACAAACAGGTAAAATAAGCTGGATGGCATTCTTCAAATTCTTCACTTGTAGGCACATTTATCAGGTCCCACTGCACATGGGTCCTCTTTCTAAAATCCAAGTAATTTAGCAAAGCTAACTAAATTCACTAAAGGCTTGCTATATGCCTATACCTATTCTTATGCATACTATCTCATTTAATCCTCAAAAGTAACCCCAAGCAAAGGTATTGTTATTTTCAGTCTACTGGTTAAAAAATCAAAGGGAAAGAGAAAGGTCTTACCATTAAAATAATAACTTTTGCTTCTCAAGCAGTCTTTTCCTCATCACCTCTCTCTACCACCACCCAAAATAACTGGTTGCTGATTACTGTACTATTTTCCCTTTGTTTTTTGTTATGGTTTTATTGGCATATAACTCACATATAATACAATTTTATCATTCAAACATATTAAGATTTGTGAAATCAACACCACAATCAATTTCAGAACATTTTCTGCTCCTACTCATTGTTGTTAGTTTTCCATCCACCCCTGCTATGGCCCCAAGCAATTCTTAACCTAGCTATTATCTCTATAGACCTATCTATGCTGGATACAGAAAATCATACAAAACACAAATAGGAAGTAAGCAAACCAAAAAATAAATAATTGGCTAAACAAAATACAGAAACAATAAAAAAGAAAGCAGAAAATATTAAAAACAGAAAAACAAATTTTAATGGGGTAAAAGGGTGGTTAAATGATAAAGCGTTACATTCTAACCTAACTACATCTGCCATAATCAACTTTCCAATATTCTCTGGTAGGTAGCAAGGCTCTGTATACAGATCCTTTGGCTGTGGTCAGAGGAGACTCACTGGAGGCTGCATCCATGTGGGGACCCTGCATATGGATTTGGGGTTTCCATTGTCGTCCACAGCCTTAAGCTTTGACACCATTCTCTCCTTCGGATTTGAATTTTATTATTTACAATCCTTGGATCACACAGGCTGGTGTGCTTCTTCCATGTGGACTTGGCCAACACCTCAAAGTGAGCCCCAAATCTATTCATATATTTATGGTTTACTTATATCTCTGATGTACTGTACAGACATCATTTTCACTTCATGATAGAGAACGTGAGTATCCTCAAGTAACTATATCTAGCTTTAGTAACAAGCATAAGTGCATGTGAGAAATCTAGATCAAACTAGGAGTACTAATAGTTACTAAAAATACGTTCCAAATGTAGGGGACTTTTTTTCTTTATTTTCTATTTTTGATAGAAAACTTCTTAATGGCACCTAACAACAATAACAACAACACTGAAGCAAAACAAAACAAAACAAACCCAGATATATTACCAGTTGTTTTTCTTTAAAGAACTATTACTGGAGGTTTTGTGATAAAAGCTTGACGCTACACAGCAACGCTAATCTAAGTCCAAAAGAGTGGTCTTGAATTTCCTCCTACCCTTCTTTTCTTGTCATTTGAGATTCTCTCCGTCTAAGGCATCTTGCTATACAAAACTTGTTTAAGTAGTACGAATGGTGCTTATTATCAGTAATATTTTTAAAGGCTATTAGTAAAGAAAACAATGTATTCCCAAAGACTATACTTAGTAGGGAGGCACTCTTGTTGTTTAAAAAATTCTCTAAAATACACTTTTAATGATAATTCTATTTGATTTCTACTAAAGTCAAAGTTGATCCACAGGGAAAAAAAAATGAAGCATCTAAAACCCTCCCCAATAAACAATGGCAACCTAACTCACAAGAAAATTAAGGACAACAGAAAAAGGGGTTCTGGGACATGAGGACACTGCTTTAGAAGTACATGTGCTGACAAAAGGACCAAATCCTCAGAAATAGGAGTTCCTCAATAACTCCCTAGTTTTCAGAATTTGTTTCTTTTAAATTACAGATGAATGTTAAAATTGACATTAGAAGATTCCCAATTAAGCTTCCCCCAAGAAAACGGCTGCATCCTCAACCTCAGCCACAGTGCCTCACAGCAGCCCACCACATCAGTGCTTGCACCAGGGACTGTGACACGCAGGAGGGTTCAGGTACTGAATCCCAGAAGTCCTCACACCAGAAAGCAGCTCCCGGGCTATTTTCTCCTATAAGGGAAAGGGAAAGGCTGGGAAAGAAGAGGACCAGGACTGCGGTGAAGGTAGGGAAGAAAGATTGCCCCACAGTAGCACTTGTTTATCATAATCGGTTTAGTACCTTCACAAAGTACAGGACCATTTCTAAGATTAAAACATGTAACCCATCTCTCTTCTCTAGTCACTGAGTCCCAGTTAAACAGAACTGGTAAAACAAATGTGCACAGGCATGTGACTGCAGGGACACCTAAGTACTGCCAAGAGCCTCTCATGATTTTATGTGCCCTCTCCTTCCACTCCAGCTGAGAAAGTCACCAAGATAAGCCCAGCTTTGAAAACATATTGCCATCTCCTGGGTATGTAGAGAGGGTGTAATCAGGCAGCAGGGGAAACACTGGGACGAGAGTTGTGGGTTGCAGTCATCGGCCTATAGATGGTTATTTAAACTGTAATCAGCACGTAAAGCGGAGCAAACAGCAAGTGAGTTAGTTAATTGTGCCAGCCTGGCCGATAATCACATGTGGTGCTGGTTGAAAGGCGGAGGGATAAATGGGTGGTGAAGCCTCGCCTTTCTAGTTCTCGGGTCTCTTGTTTTGTGATGGTTGTATCGGGTGCAGCTGCCTTAGCAGTTCCCTGCTTCAGCTTGCAAGATGGATTTCCTACAAGACATCCCCAAGGAGAAGCCACATGGATCTATCCCGATGCAGCCCTGGGTGCTGGAGCAGCCATGTGGAGACCCTTGCCAGTGCTGATGCTTACACGTTCATGGACTCAGCTTTCCTCCTGCAGTCGGCATCATTGCCTCTGTTTTGTGAGGTGGAGGACTTTGTGGACTGGTGTTGGGTTAATGGGTTAATGTTGGACTTGTGGGCTTGGGCAGCATTGGGTTGGGATGTTTTCATGATGCACCTTTTCTTTACATAAAACTCTCTCTTATACGTGAGTCGCCATGGATTTGTTTCTCCAAAGTACTTAGACTAATACAGCAAGCATCAAACCTTTGGACAACACTAGCATCTCAGTGACAGAGAATGTAAGTGGCAATTAATGAAGGGATGAAGACAACAAGTGGAAAAAGTGAAAGGACTGTCACAGAAGCAACAAAAAAAAAAGATGATCCGTACCATCCAATGCTGCAGACAGACAGGGCTGAAGATGAAATAGCCATCAGGTCAACACCACTGAAACCAATTCTGTATTCTCCAGCCCCCTGCGCATGTGCAGCGTACATGTGAAATCGAGGTAATCTCCTTACATTAGATATTTATGGAGCACAACCATATTTGAATGCAGCTAAAATCTCACTCACTGCCATTGAGTCGACTCTGACTCATAGCAACCCTGTAGGACAGGGTGGGACAGGTAAACCCTGTGCGTTTCCAAGATTATAATGCTTTAGAGGAGCAGAAAGTCTCATCTTTCCCCCTTGGAGTGGCTGGTGGTTTTGAACTGCTGGTTTTGCAGTTTGCAGCCCAATGCGCAACTCAGCCTATGCTGTTAGATATGCCTAACCACACTGCTTCCGGCTTCTGAAACTACCTTAATGAGTAGTCAGTCAACAATGAACAAACTGAAAACCAGAGTCACTGCCATCAGATTGATGATGACTCGCAGCAGCCCTAAAGGGCAGAGAACTGCCCCAGTGGGTTTCAGACTCTGAATGTGTATGGGGGTAGAAAGCTGTCTTTCTCCTGCAACAATGAACATTTGGTGTATGTGCCCTGGGTGCTGCAAATAATTAATAAGTTCCTATGTTAACAAAAGGTTAGAGATTCAAATCTACCCAGAAGGGCCTTAGAAGAAAGGCCAGGAGGATTTTTCAATCAGCCTTTGGTAACCCCATGGAGCATAGTTCTGCTCTGACATACAAGGGACTTTAGAAAGTTCATGAAAATTTCTCATTTTCAATTCAATTTCTCCACAAACTTTTTGAAGCCCCTCATAAAGTGGGGTCAACATGAGTCAGAATCCACTCGGTAACAACTTGGTGATGGAGAACCATGATGAACACAGAAAAGGATGATCGGGAATTTAGTCACCCGTATCAGGCTAAAATTACTTTACCTACACTCAGCATACTTGTGCCCCAGAAACCCAAACCAAGTAGAGTAGAATGGGTTTCTCTTATGTGGCCTTCCTGGCCCTGTATTTGGGATTCTCCAAAAATGTCTGTCAGTCACAATCTGCGAAGAGATTGTTTGATCTGCAATCTACCTACTATGATTGGTCAGTTGCGGATCCTGCCAGGAAAGCCTATCTTAAAATTAGCAAGTTCCCCGCCACAGCATGCCTAAGGGGAAATGGCATAGAGTGAAGAAGAATCTACCAGTGATGGATATGGAAAATATTTCTGAGTGTTCCCGGATCCAAGTAGTAACCAGCCAAATCACACACATTAAACCTAAAACTCCACTAAGATACAGTGTTCAGAGATGCAGCTCAAAGCCACAGCTGCCTGATGCTAGGCTCCTGAGAGTGTTCCTGGGGAAGGGGCGGGGACGCACCACTCGCAGGACACACCCTGCCTCTTTATGGGCTTGCTGCAGAACAGTGCTGAAGGCTACTCGAATACAAGCGACATCCTCTTCTGATTTTGCTCCATTAGTGAAAATGGGGACTAAGGTGGGTCTTCCATAAAGGCAAAATGGCATTAAATCATGCTTTGAAAAAGCAGTGGATACCTGTATAAACAGCCAATCTCACCAAGGCTAGGGGGAGTCCTCTGATCAACAAGACTCTAGAGAGAAGCACATCCTTTGGACCAGGGTCCCCACACTGAGAAACCCCTAGATCCAAATGA